TTAATGACTGCAGACTTTCCAAAGCTGCTTTACTTTTTGTGGCCCTACGTGATATCGCAGCTGAGATTTTCTTCTTCACTTCTTTCTCTGTGCTCCCCTGTATTTGGTCTGCTGTGAAAAGGGCCTTGAAAATAGGACCTGCCTCAATCTGCTTCTAAGGCCCTCCCCATAGGGCTGAAACAAAACAAAAGACACACAAGGAAAAGAGAAATAGATGGAGTAATTGGTCTCCAATAGGAGCACTGACACTAATGATGCAAAACTGAAAGGACTTCCTGCACCTGCCAGAGGCACTTTGTTATCCCAGGGAAGGTCTGCAAAGCAGGTCAGGACACTTGAGGCTAATCAAGCACTGTTAGCTAATGGATTGTTTATAAGACTTTGTAACTCTGCACTGTATCATTATTGCCTATTCATGTTCATGTAATCTCTGTCTAGAGACAAACACTTCAGAAAGGAACCTATAAATAAATGCCTGTAACCCAAAGTGGTACAAGATGGAAGAAAACTGGGGCTGACACAAGCCTGACAGTCACTATGGGGATGCCTTTCCAGGTGCAGAGGTGTCTCAGTCCCTGCACAGTATAATTTGGACACATGGCCTTTCTGACCCAAATTCAGGTGCAAGTGCCTTCTCCATGGGTGCCAGAGCCATGTCACTGTGCTCAGTCACTGTGCAGAGGTGCATGGTGCACAGCCAAAGCAGATGTCCATCAAATGCATCAGCAGAGTGATTTCTGAGCAGTGCAGGATGTTGTTGTTCACCTTTGTAGCATCTAGTGAACCAACAAAACAAATATAAGTCACACAAAACTTTGCATGCAGGCACACTGCAGTGTTTTGAACTTTAATAATTTCTCCCTCCTTTTTCTTCTTTATGTTTGATTTTATTGCTTCATGACTTGGAAGTACTTCATTACTCCCTTTTAATGCTCTCATATGCAGGTTTTATCTGGAGCGTTATAAATCCCTAAGTGTCATATGCATATTACCACTTTATAAGAGACAAAATATGCTCAGTGTGGAAGGATTGATGGTTTGAAAAATTCTATATTAAAATTGGAGCAATAAAAGATATCCAGAAGCGGGATAGAAGCTGCTCTTCTCTGCTGGCAAACTGCACAGCTGAGATGTATTGGCAGGAAGGTAGTGAAGGTGTTTGTCTTACATGAACCTGCAAGCTCAGAGTCATGAGAGAACAAAAGGTCAGTAAGAGGAGCAGCTCCTCATGGAGACAACAAGCTTGTATGAGAAAAAAATTTAAAAATATAGAAATTCAGGTAAGAGAGAGAAAGGCACATGAAGATTTGAAAATACATAGAAGGATTTTTGATGCACATAGGAAAGGAAAAGAGCTGAGTGATATGTGTAATACTAAGAGGCTCAAATCTCATCCAGCTTCAAAACACTAAACTACTTCTCACTCTTACTGCAGCCAGCCAGGTGCAGATGGCTGAGCCCTGTCCAGAAGCAAGTCCTCCAAATTGAAAAGTCAGCTGTGGATGCTGGACAGTAATTAAGTCTTTCACTTGCATTTGCACTGAAGCCCTGGCTCAAAATGGTGCTTGTGAGCCATTATGTTTAGCCAGAGGGCAAGGCAGGAGAAACTCCTGTTTTTTTAATATCTGTACTACCTGTCAGAGAATGCCAGTGTGATTGTACCCAGCTTCTGAGTATGAGTGCCAAGCTCACCTAAAAATCACCATGCTGCAGGGACAGGTACAACCAAAGGCCATGCAGTCAGGCATGCAATGGTAGGGGATTTTGGTGTCAGTAGCTATATGGCCAAGCCTAAAGGCAGGAGAAAAACTCCACCAAATACAGTTAGTTGAAGACCAGACTGCAGTGTGCTGCTGGAGAACTCTTTCTGGATGTCTTGTGTAGGTATTGTCATGCTGCAAAAAAAGTAATTGATGTCAACTTTAACATCTACTCTTCATTGACCTCTTTGCTGTTTTCTAACGTCTCCGATCCATAAAGCCTGGGATCCATCAGCAGTGTGGGCTATTTGCAGGAAGAATAGGGAGAGTTACTCTAGAGTCTGCTTAGTGCCAGTAGTTCACCAGATTTTCATCTGCCATGCGCTACATGCATTGTTCCCAATCTCTTTTCTACTTCTGATTCCCCCTCGCTTTGTCTGTGCTTTTCTGCATGTTATCTGGGGTTGTATTTTTGACTGCCAAAATCTCTTTTAAAGGAACATTCACCCACTTGAAAACAAGGTAATGCTGCTGCTTGCTGCAGTATTACTGTCATACATTTTTTTAGACTTGTAGTTTACAAAAGAAACGCACATAGAAAAGCAAGACATGATCTTTCTCTGGAAAAGCCTGAGATTATAATTAAATAAGTAATCTTTGTCCTGTACCTGGTTCCCAGGAAAATAATGGAAATTAATTCTCCTAATAAAAAGATATCTTTTGTGAAAAAAAATAACTGCAGTACCAATGAGATTGGAGTGAAGAACTTCCAAATATATTGTATATATTTGTGACACATATTATGTGGTTGGTTTTGGGCACTTTTATATATGACTAAAGAAAATTGTACATACAAAATTTTCAGTGATGCTGGAACATTCTTCCTCATGTAGTTTGGAGGTATGATTTATCATCTTTCTTTAGTGGAAGAAGCAAAAGGTTGCATATAACCAGCAGCAAGTTGTTGCTAGAACCTAATTTTGGATGTGATCAATCTGCAAATGTTGCAGTTCTTAGGAATAGCAATCTGGCAGCAGTGTCCTTTATTCTGAAAAAGAACGTGCTGCAGAAATAGTTTAGAAAGCTCAGTCACAGCTGCACAAGAGTTTATAGACCGCTTTCAGAATGTGAAGAAGCAACTTAACTTGAACCTCCGAGTAATGTAGCAGTCAATTTATGATTGGAACCAGTTCCTAAAATAGATCGCTATTTTCATGACCAAATGAAAGCACAGCCTTACTGAGATCCAGACAGAAAGTGTGTGTTGATACCAGGCTCTAGTTTAGTGCTGAGCATTGGCTGACTCCACTGGAAGCTTCAGATGGATGATTGTTTTAAAAGATGTGACAACCTGTGGTGATGCTTAAAGAAAGTAGTTGTAGTTAAATTTTTAATGCCTTAGGGATAATTGCTCAATATTTTGAGCATCGCAATTTCTAGTGACTGCAAAGGAAGTAAAGATCCCATTTTACAGCTGGGGCTTAGCTTCTCACTCTTTGAAGCCCCTGACAGCTAGCATGGTCAAAGAAACATGTTGTCCAGGTAAGCTCATTATCATTCTGGATTGATACGCTGCCTTTCACAAGAATAAGGTGACTGGGATTTGCTCTGTATCCTAAGGATAGGATTTCAACAGTCTTTAGAAGCTGGCAGTTACATTAGCCCTAAAACCTGGAAGTAGGTGAGCAGTTGCTGCAGGAAACTCCTCGTGCCTTCATATTTCCTGCAGGAGATCAGCTCTGGAGTCACGAAGCAAAGACAAGTATGGAGTGCACAGCTTCGATTTTGAATGCACAAAGCCATGGCAAAAGAAAGCGGTTTGCACAGCCTTTGCTCCTGTGTGCGACCCCACTGTTTTCACAAATTGCCTACAGAAGTGGCAGCTCTCTTCCCCTTGGTAATATATTATGGATCAAAGTGTATTAATATTTCAGAGACTCAGAACCTCTTCCATGACCTGGAGTTTCACACACATTGGCTTCCAAGGGAGCTTGAAGAGCAGAGTCATTAATGCATTCTTGGACGTTGAAGTTTGTAAAAGTGAGCAATCTAATCGATAATATCTAACAATTTTGAGTGACTGCACTTTACAATGTACTTACAATATCCACATTTTCAGTTTTTAGAGTCTGCTTTCAATCTGCATTTTAGTTTGCTTATTTGTATCTGGTTAGGGTGTTTCATTTGTTTTTTTAAAAAAACAAAGATAGTTTGCTGACAGAAGCAATAAGAGTCACAAGTAAATTAAGTGTAAAACAGTAGTGTAGAATTATCATTCAGCTTTCTTGCCCTAAAGAGATTGTCTGAAGGGTTTCAACCAGAGTATGCTGACAGCAGTTCCAGTGGAGTTGGAGCAATTTCATCAATGTGAACAGGAGGAAGTCAGAATCAGCAATTTACTGTGAGATAGCTTTTCTTTCTATGACTCTGCATTAGCCACATAGGAAATTTTAACTTTGCTTTTCTCTTTGGAAAAATAAACCTGTTTTTTAATAATAATTTCAGTATAAAAAATTATTATGTGACAAATTTGAGAATTTTGGTGTGAAAGACAATTTCCAGTACTGATGGTAAGGTTTCACAAGACAGAAGAAAGTGGAATTTTTTTCCAAGCTTAAGATCGTACTATTGTGGTTTGTAGCCTTACTGCTTTCTTCAAAACAGTCCTTTATTTTTTCCTTAAAAGCTACTTGTAGCTCACTTGTAGCATCTTTTCCACACGATGAGACTTCCCAGTATTGGTAAAGGCTCAGAAGAAAAGAAATAATTTCTGACAAGTTCTAATCCATCAATCAAAAAACTGTCATTTAATAAACCTTGTGGTAGCTTTGTCATTAATATTGTCCTTTGTGAGCTGTGTGGGTACTTGGAAGGTATAGAAGATATTTCCTCCTGCAGACCAGTAAAGTGATAAACCATGACTGTGTATTAATTTAAATATCTATTACTGTGGCTGAATCTGATGCCTACAACATAGCACAAAAAAATGCTCACATTTTTAATTTTCCAAGAAAATTAATCTTTTAGAGTTCTCTTTTTGCTTTTCTTTTTTTTTTTCTCTAAGAAGGTTGTTGCAGCTCCATTTTAAACCCTGACAATTTATATTTTAGTTATTGCATGTTGACCTCTTGTATCTAACAGTACTAATTCTTATTCCTGTCAGGTATAAATTTATCTATTCATGGGGCTGAAAAGCGTGTGCAGGTCTGTCAGAGGAGAACTGCAGCAAGCTACCCAGTGTCACAGCATCCACCTGTGGATGGGCATCCTTCAATCCCACAAGCCAGAGGGTCAATAAAAATGGAAGCTTCATCTTCTGGATCTACAATTTCATCAGTCACTGGTGGAAAAGCAAAAACCCATCAGCCAGGTAACAGATTTGCCTTGAAACCTTTTCCAGTCCCATTTCAAGTGTGATGTGCCATGTCATGGCAAAGCTGGTGTTAATAGCATGAGATTATGCTTGTGTGGATATCAACCTATGGATTGTCAAAATTACTGATTGATGTTTTGTTTACATTTGATGTTTTTGTCTGTTAAAGACTATAGGGGTTAACAGTACTTGAGACAGCTGAAAGTGGGAAATAAAAATATAAGTTTAATCATTAAAACCCCTACAATGTGCAGTGGTATCCAAAATGTTAATGCAGAGAGATTTGGGATATTGTTTTTTAATACCATTTGAGCTAATTGCTCTAGAGGCTACAGGCATTCCCCATGGAATTCAGTAATTGACAGTAAAATTGTTTTTGACCAAATACGCAATCAAGGGCATAGATAAACTCTTTCTTGCTATAGCACTAACAAAACCTGTGGATCTGCACGACATCTTACAACATAGGTTAACTGGTTGGCAAAATGAAACTTTTCAAAAGAAAGTCAAAATCTCCAGGGAACCATCAAATTCTAATTTGTATCGTGAGTTCGTTCCTTGTTATGATAATTGCCAGTGCTATTTTAGAAATATCTTTTCTTATAGCAGGGGAGTACATTTGTACTGGCCATGCTCAGTCATTCTCCATAGTGAAAATTAAGCTCCAAACTTCTTTCCTGAGCAAAGCAAATTAAAGCTGCCCATGAAGTCAGTTTTGCAGCATATTTATTGGAGGGTCTCAATAATCTACCATTGTTGCTGCCCAGAAAAGAGCATAATATATCATGTATGCAGCTACTTGGGTGCTAGGAGACAGAGTATTGTGTGAGACAGATGTTCTGCCTGCAAACTCTTAGTGTACCTCCTTTAACTTGCAGATCTATTAAATGGCTTAATTTTTATAGAAGTTTAAGTTTTAGATTTTCTATTGTAAGTTGCTATACAGGTCTATTGCCATGAGTTTCATGCACTCATAGTATTTAGTCAGTCATAATCTTTGTCAACACAGATTAAAGAATTTACAGTGACTCATAACCATATGTTTTGTTTATTTTAGTTCTTCTGTTCACTTGTTTGTCCTGTTTTTTCAGCTTCTGTCTTTTCCGTTGAAGTACAGAAATTACTACTACTGAAATGTTGCTTTTGCTAAAGATATATAATGATGTATGCAGCATGTTAAGAGATTGACAAAAAAGTCCTGCATCACAGTTTTTTAAAAAAGTATCTTGAATGTGTGCAATAACAACATTCATTTTGAGATTCTACATATTCTACAGCTATCTGTTGATAAGTATGGCCTGTGCTTTAATATTAAATGATGTGCAAGCAGCAAATTCTGGCCTCTCATTGAGAAAAAGATCCCTTTTTAGGTGGACCCCAGAGGTTTCCTGAAATGGAGCTCATTAGTCACCATTTGGATAATGATTACCTTTCAGTATATGAGATAGTTCTATCTGTCATATTCTCCTCTTAGGATAGTAAGAGCGTCTATGACCTATGGAGAACATTTTTTCTATAGCAGGAGTATTCTCTTGACTAATTTATAGTCCCATTTTTTCATCTGAACTGGAGTATCATTTCTATGATTTGTGTCTGCCATTTCAATTCAATTTGAGACCACTAACTTTGTGTTTATGTCCAGGTTAAACTGCAAGCATTTGAGCTGTATGCAAGTAGATCTAACAAAGATTACGGTCAGCAGCAACAGCAATGAATAGCACTTATAAGAGGAAATTCTAATTTAAACAAAAAATCATATGCCTTTCACTCAAACTTAGTCACAAATTAACAGCTCTAGCTTCGTAATTAGCTTTAGACATCAGTTGTGCAGTGGTAGTACCTTATCTAAGATATCATAAGTAGCTTGATATTTTAGAAAGACAATGTTCTCATGTATATGAATTACTGATACCAGATCTCTTTTCTAAGCTATTATCTTGCTACTGCATGCTGTGAATTTGTAGGGTTTTGTTCCATCTAAGTTTAAATAGTTCATACAGTTTGAGTTTTTGCTTCTATTGGGCTGCTGTTACCACAATCAAGTAGCTCTCACTGTTGGAGTAGTGTATGCTATACTCACTCCAAAGTTTTCTTTGTCCAGTTAGCAAATACTCCAAACATGAAGGCAGTCTAGCATAATAGAAGGTATTTTTAAGACTTAAAATGACATTTTAATTCTTATCAATTAAAGAGACTATAACCATGGAAAGAAAAGCTCCTTGATAAAGTGCAGGTCGAGAGTATTTTTTTCTTTGATAGCCCACACACACACTTCCGTTTTCTTCACAGCACCTTTTTCCCCTGTGCACCCTTTCTTCTTTCAAGAATGACGGCTTTTATAATCTATCATGAATTCTATTTATTCGACAGCAGTTTCCTTTAAATGAGGTTCATAGGTAGCTGTATTCTAAGGATAAGAAGCAATAGATGCCGTTCATTGTTCCAGCATTCCTTTCAAGTTACTTCCCTGACAGTTTTATTTGTAACTAGTAAGGAGCCTGAGGCTCATTACTTCTATTATTAATCTGGGTGTTAGAGTGGCTAGGGAGCAGTGGGTTGACTGTACTGTACCTTATTTAAAAACAAATACAATTTTAAAACTTGTTTTGTGCAAGCTTGCAAAGAGGTATTGCTCAGCCATGAGCAGATCTACAGTTTCTGAGCTTGGATTTTACACAGATATAAAGGTATCAAGTAACTGAAACAACACAGAGGAAAATGGAGAAACAAGTGGAAGAAAAAGGCTATTAATGGGGAAGACTCCTGACACATTTGCAGGTGCACCCATATGAGGGAACATTCTCTTAGAAAGAGGGAAAACAGAGATGAGGATAGCAATCAGATGATAAATTTAGATGTAATAGCAAATATGCATTTCTTTCCAAAGTCAGGGACAGCATGGAAAAACCTCCACCATCTATATGAGCAGCTGTGGTGTGTTGTGGCTAGCGGGGTACAAGGCTACTGAGGTGGAGAGTCCAAAGCCATTGAGGCAGGCTGTTGGCTGCAGTGAATTGGCACAACGCTCCAGAAGACAGTGTAGAATAGTTGTGTCTGTGCAGCACACACAGAAACCTCACTTTGAAAGCAATGGTGTCATCATTTAGACTCTGTAAGAGCAACAGAACAAGTATGAAACAAGCCTAGAGGGAGTTAAGCTGTCATCCCAATCCATTCCCTCAATGTCAGGGTCAGGCAAATCTAGGGACAAAAAACCCCCTCACCTCCCTTCTGATAGCATTGTGCATTTGCTGTGCAGCAAGCAGTACTTTGGTTTCTGGGCTTCTGTCTGCTCTTTCCCTTGTGAATCTATTCCAAATTAGGACAACGTTACATTCCTTCATTCTCTTGGTGACAAATTCCTTTATTTTCAGATTCTGCAGAACTTGTCAAACCTTATTTTTCTATGAGTCCCTAAATTTGCTGGCTGTGGAAAAAAATGTCATACTTAATATGTCTAAGCAGCAGTAAAGTAAATTATTTCATTGTGTGAAACTCTGGAATCTTCTTATTCTCTACTTGCAATATTTCATAACACTTGTTACCCATTTTGTAATAACAGGAATGCAGAGATTCCCTGGCAAGACTTTCTCTCTCTGCGCTTCTGGTAAAATCCTAATGCATTTTGAGGTTTAGATATATTAGCGTATGTACAGTAATGTAGATTATAATTTGTATCACTTATACAAATAAGTACTGCAGGCAATCTGTACTGCAGAAAAAGACCAAAAAAAGTACTGCAGAAGAAACGGTTGTCTTTGAAATAATTTCTTTCTAAAATTTAGTTAATATGTAAAGATTCTTCACTCTGGGAAACACATAAAAATATTCTAGAAAATTCTGCTTTCAAAAATTTACTGTTCAAAAAGATCCCTTTCAAAGCCAAAGAACTGTACATTTTGGAAAGGACTTGCCTTGCTACCTGAAATTATGTAGGAATATTTTTGGTACATGAAAGAACTTCATGTGCTGGAAGGACTGGTTTCTGGCATTATGGTGGAAGTCTGCTGGGGTCATTGGAATTCATTGAGAAACTTTTCTTGCACTCTTGCTTTTTGTGTATTTGATAAATTACAAGTTTAAAAGAAGGTATATTTGCCTTGGACAGGTTTTCCTTTGTGTTTGGGTCCTCTTTTTTTACTGCTTATCAATCTGTAGCATTTTTATTGATGACTGTACCTACTGAGCTTGTAAATAAGGAAGGAGAACTAGGGGGCTTGGCCAACAGAAAAACTGACTTGGGAGGCAAGTAAAAGGGTGTGGTTCCTGAAACTAACAACCAAAATTAAAGGAAAAAAGGAAACGTGTTTAGCAAGCTTAGTCACAAATTAATTAACTTTGAATTATCAAAAATCTAGAACTGAAGCCTTCAACAGTGATAATTTACTGGGCAAAATATATCCTTTTCTCATCACAAAAAATGCATATGCTTGTTAGCATTCACATTTGATTGTAAATGGTCTTTAGAAGATCTGTGTTAGTCAGATGTGACTTGCTGGTTAAATCACGTTTTCTTTTCTTTGCTGACTGGCAGGACATGTGGTATGCATCTCTCCCAGATTAAAAGAATAACACCCTGCAAATAATTCTGCCAGGAAGCTCTGTCATGCAAATATTTCTTGGCAGTAAATGCATGCATGGCATGGGGAAGTAAATTCATTTGGAAATTTGAATTCACACCGACAGTAATGCTGTTATCTTACTTGTCTAACATTATTAAGGGAACAATCTTTTTCAATATGCCTTCTGCTGGGTGTATATAGAACTTTCTCTCATGTGGAATGAAGCATAGAAAATGCAAGCAGATTTCAAAAAAGTTTAGTATTTCCTCATTAAGCTAATTTTCATATAAAAACCCCCACATGTTCATTCCTATGCAGAAGGGACATTAATTTCAAAGAAAGCAGCCTGCATGTTTAACTTTTCCTTTACCTCCAGCCTGTGTTCAAAGCAATGTAAGTTCGAGGGATGGAGCAAAATTCCTTCCATGCTGGTCC